GCCGCCCTCCACTTATTTAAAAAATGTCACCGTAACAATGCCAGCCGCACAGCTGGAATCAAAGGCCTGGCACCAGATGATGTCAAAAAAAAAGCTGCATGGAGCTAATCCATCGGCCTTCTCAGCACCGAGATCGGTGATGTCCCATCTGCAAGTCGGACATTCGGGCCCTAAGTACACCAAACCAAGAGCACTGAGCAGTCATCATTCGGCAGCAATTCTGCCTGCAAGCCTACCGCTTCTGTAAAAAAGCCTCTCAGAAGCAGAGTCTGCACAAGCAAAGATACTGAGATGAATGCTCCTCTTCAACCAACCTCATGCAAACGTTTTTAGTTGTTCGGACAAGCCATTGCCGACGAACCGCGCAACGGAGACTGTGGGGTTGGTTTCTGAGCCCTGCCTTGAAGGCATCCAACGTGGAAGGTGTGAAGACAGGGAGTCATAACCTGAAACACAACAGCAAACTCTTCTCGACTTTTCAGAGGTCGCCTCTGCATTGATGCAACTTGAACCAACTGCAAGCGACCAGGCAAAATTAGCGCAGCATTTCCGAATGTGCGAGAGCCGAGCAATTTCGGCATCCTGTCCAGCTTCCCAGACGGTGAAGTCCTCCATACATATCGGACCTTCAAGACTGAGAGCTCACGAAGCTTTGACGTGCGGAGACTCTGAGATGAAGGCAGCTTTGAGGATGGGGTGCTCCGCTGAACAAGCCTGCCACAAGCTTGTCAGCATTGCAAACTTCGGTCAACATCCGTCTGCGCCCAAGCTGCTTGAGATTGAGTTTTGTTTGCATTTATCTGCAAAACATGTGTAACGGAGCCTGAAACCCAAGAGGTTCAGAGGCAGCGGACAACACAGGCTGGCTGCAAACCAACATGCGACACCTTCGCGGATGATTTTGAGTTATGCAGTTTGGCAATGTCTTGCTGCAGACAACGTGCACGGACAAAGCATGGTGAGCCTTGAAGTACTCATGTAATTGGTGAATCAATTGGGCAAACAGTTCGAAAGCAAATCCTAAGTCCTAAGCTAAGTAGTTGTGAGTATGACTGAAGCCGCTCACCCCCACCTATGATTGCCAAGAGCATTTCCAAGCGCCAATCCGCAGGCTGTGCATCAGACAGCAGCGCACCTGCGGAATATCTCACGCGAGGCAGCTCAGCCTCAGCAGATGGCAGAGGTTGGACCAACTTGCAAAGACTTTTGGCTTCAGGGCTGGACCACGAGGACCGAGGCTCGGGATGGCCTTGGCTCATCACCCCCTGGATCCAACCTCCTCCTGAGGTGCTGTATCATCCTTAGCAGCAACCGTATCATCCGCAGCAACCGCTTAAGAGGAAATTACCACAGAAATGGTCTCGGCCCCGCGCCCTTCTGACAGCCTGCAGCTCTGGCAAACAAACACTACACCCCTTCAGGCAGGCCGTCAGGACACTACCCAAAGAAGCTTTGTGACCAGCAACTATAATCCTGGTACCAAATCGGCGAGGGGCCTTGCAGCACGCTCCATGAGCTGGTCTAACTCCTTCCAAGGGGACTCCAGGTGTGCACCAGGTGCCATGACAAACCGATAGGCCTGGGCTTGCATCGGTGGTGGTTCACTGGCTGCGTCACTATCATCTTCGAAACCCGTCAAGCCTAAGGGCAGTCAGCTTAGCTCAAAGCTTAAAGACAAATGCAATGCCTGCAGTGCTGCTGCAAATTGCTGGGCAGTCAGCTGACCTCCGACCCCGAACTGTCACAAGACACCTCTTCGTCGGCACTCCTGAGCAGGTAGCGAAAGCCATTCGCACATCATTCTTTGCGCAGGATTTGAGCCAGTGAGACGTGACTCACGGGCTTGTACTGAAGTCATCAGCCATCATGCTACTCATCGGCAAGCAATAAAAGCAGTGAGAAAGCAAGGGCCGTAGATGGCTTGCCCTTTCCCCATTGTGGTGTCGCCCAACTCACTGCCTGGAGGTTTGGGGCTGGCGAGCCCGCACCCAGGCCACGAAGGTTCGAAGGCCACCCTTGCACAATTTTCGGCTGAGCCAAGCAAACATGCCATGGCAAGGCATGCAACCCTGCAGCGGCAGGGCCTGCGTCCCTTTTGATTTTGGCTCAGGTGGCAAGAAACAAAACAGAAACTGAGTCATGTACCGTTGGATTTGGTTGGCTCAAAGCCTGGAGGCAGAGTACTTGCTGCACAGCCATATACGATAAAGTTGTGCATTGCCAAAGGCTTTCCTGATCAAAACCGGGAACCGTCACAAAGACTTTTCTCCTGCTGAAACTTTTATGATATGGGCTGATACGGGGGTTGTTGTCCCTTTCTGAGTCCCCATTATAATATGGCCTCGAAGACAACCCTTCACATCGCAATCGGCCCAATTCTTAACTGCTCTCTCTGCTTCGACTCTAAGAGTCAGGGTGATGTGACTTAGGGTGATGTGACTTCCATGAACATAATGCACTGATCACTCTAAAGCTGAGCCCTGGCGCACCCACTGGACGTAGCCCGGATGATGACGAGCCACCTTGGAAGCCAGCTCATCAATGAAGCTTGCATATGCAGCGACAAAACTACAGAATCATGAAGGCTTAGACACATGACCTCACTGTAAGTCATCCCATTGTGCCGTCCGAAAGTCAGCCTCCAGCAATAACACCTACACCAACACCATCACTTCAAAGAACACAGCTGCGGGTTCCTCGGATCCCTTCTGCGCCGGCGGCGACGGCCTCGGAAAGTCTATACAGTAAAGAAGTGACTTCTAGAGGTGGGCAGCGCGTCGCATCTCCAAAGTCTTTCTGGCCATGCGGCGGGGGGCTGACCGAGAAGCTGAGCGGCTCCGACTGTCGCGGTCTTGGTGCCAACATTATAAAATGACAGTATAGGACTCTTGGACATAGACTTGCGGATTCTCAGGGCATTGCCATGCCGAGGCATTTTTTGGCGGCCACATCTGGAGTTGAGCCAAGGAACGCAGATGATGTGGCAGCCTGTTGATGCAAACCTGTGAAGCTAGACATGTGGAGATCAGGGATCACACACTCTCGCCCAGCACAAACTGAAACACCTGACTCCTCCTCCTCCCGCAACATCCTGGATCTAGACTTCTCACCAGCCTATGCGAAGCAAGCATCCCAATGCAACCCTGGCGCCGGCACAAAAAAAACTATAAACTCCAAGCATTAACGCGACCCATGGCTCGAGGCACAAGAGCACCGGGATTTCTGTCCGACGCGCTAACAAATGTCCTTGCACGACCCTTGTGGATCCGCATACTGCTTTTGCTGAAAGCTGATTTGGGTGGGCTCTGCATACCGCACATCACACTGGCCAGCTAGAAAAGCTTGCTGGGCAGCCTTCATGGAAGGACCGCACTGTGCGTCTTCACTTGGCAGCTTGCTCTCGTGCTCGGCGTTCCTCATCCAAGAAAACGTGAACTTGCAAAGTTCCGAGTTCTGAACAACTCCAGTCCCCCGAGGCCGGAGCAGCATACTCGCGCTTCATCTGCTCGCGCTTCTCATCACCTCTCTCACTCTGGCCACCGGTCGCAGCAGCCTGAACAGGCTCTTTTACGCTCGGTTGTTGCTGAGTTGAGCACTCTCAGATTTTCAAAAGCATTCTACAATCCCAAGGTTCTCAGAGAATTGCCATTCTTCTGCAGATGCATTTCTACAATGCTGCTCAAGTTTCAGTGTGGAGAAGCTATCGCCTGGTGGGTGGAACCTTCGCCAATGGCACTGCCCAAGGCTACGGATGCGAAGAATGGTGGTGCCCACCAGAACCTCACATCAAATTGTGCGCTTGGGGCATAGGACTGCCGATACAGCAGCACAGCTGTGATTCCACCAGCAACGACAGAGACGTGTGAGGGCCCAGCATAAGTGCCAGAAACATGGCTGACACAATCTTAGTGCAGTTGGCACAAGGAACTGCATTTTTTGCCCATCCAGAGATGCCAACAACCCCTCGAGTCCCTTGCCAACCATGGCGCCCGCGGCTGCTGAGCTCGGGCTGCCTAACAGCCAAAAGTCTTACGACATAGCAACATATAGCTTCCCTTGTTGGCCAACAACCAAACGATGTGCTTCTGGCAAGCGCGTTCTTGCAAAAGTAGAAAATGCTGCCATTTATAGTTCTGCATCCGCTTGAAATTCTCTTTGTGCATTGCTCATTTTTGTGCGCTCATGCGCTCTAACCGTTTGCACTGCACCGTGCGTAGTCTCACAATCAGCTTTCTAGGATTGCTCGTGCCTCGTTCATGGACTTGTCTTGAAACTCGGGGTGTCCACCTGTCACTTTCTCCTGGCATGGCGAACGTAAGCAATGTAAGGTCAGAAGGAAAAATCAAGTCAAATCGAGACATGAGACTGAGGTGGTTTCCATATCGCCCATGCTCAATGTCAATCTTGACAGAAGATGTCAAGTGCAAGTGAGATTCTCGATGATGAAGCATGGGCTGACTGGATGCGACTTTGCAAACTGTTCAGTATCACGGATTCGAAGCCTCTGCCCACAGTCCAATCCCGTCTGCTCTGGTGTGGGATCCCAGCATGTGGACAAGGCAAACTTGCTGGGATTACGCTCAGGCAGCGCACAGCAAACCTGTTGATGGCAAGAACCTCCAATGCGGAAACATTTGCATTCCGGCTTATCAAATTGCATCTGGGAACCCTCACCATACTTTCCTCTTGCGCCAATGGCACACTCTAATCTGAGGCGTAAGCTTGTTTCGATTGAGGCAGCGTAGCACGCCTTTTCAATAACAAGAGCGAAATGGTTTGACTGTCAGCAATTCGTATGCTGCCAGTCTTTGGGATGGCCTTTGCCATGACTATGAACATGAGAACCTTGCTCTGCTCGACGCTAGCCCCTTGTAAGAATTCATGCTTTGGCCTTCAGGTCGCGTGCAGGCTGTGTGGGCAGGGAGCACCACTTTACTAACGCAGAGCTTTGGATTGCTCCCCGTGCAGAGTAGCGGAGGCACTTCTGATGTACCTCAGACTAGAGATTTCTTTGAAATGTTGTTTGCCTTCTAACATATGAACTACGAAGACCGGGCAGCTGCCCCGACAACACAACCTCAAAAAAATGACTCCTGTGTCCACCGCACACATGAGCGACAACATTGAATTGCCCTGGCCAGCCGCGAGATGTCACGTGGCTAGCCACATGCCGTGACTTGCGTCAGTCTCAAGAGGCTGTGGTCTGGCAAGCTGACCCTGCATTTCGGCCATCCTTTGTACTCCCTTGGCTCATCCCCCTCCCAGAGTCCCAGACCCTCCGCCCTCCGGCTCTTTCCTTGCCTCTCGCATGAGCAAATGAAAGTGGCGGGTCTGCGTTAAAGTCTCGTCCCACCTGGTGCCAGCCGCGGACAATGCCCGCACAGCCCTGAAGAGGAGCATCGCGACCTCTGCGCGGCAGAGCAGCAGAGCGCACCCTCACACCCTCGGTCTGTGTGTACTTGGCTTGCTCTACATTCTCTCACTGCGTGTACGTGCACTTGGCTGCTCGCCTCAGGAAAAGCCCAACGGAACGCAAGTGCAATTTGGGATGCTGATATTCAATATCTAGGATTCTGCACCTCTAGATCTGCTGGCTAGCTGTCCTAGGTCTCTGAACATCTCAGTCTGCTGAATTAACTCTGTACTTGTTGCATGTTCAGGGTTGAGCAAGCGCTGCAGGTTGCTGGAGCTTTCAACAGGATCATCCTGTGTCAAGGACTCCAACGTGAGATGCAGCAGGATTTTTCCTTCCAGGAGCCAGCCAAGCTCCTCTCCGCGCAGCTGCCTCAAACGACAACGAGTCACGGCGTGCTTGCTTGGAAACACTTCAGCACACAGACACGTACATGGGTCTTCAAGTTTGACGCAAAGAAACCCACCCCAGACGCTTCAGAAGGCCTGTCTTCGGCAGCACGCCGCAGCAGTTTGGCTGGCCAGTTCACGCATGGAGGTGGGAATTCCACGAGCTTCAAGCTGCCCTGGAAACCGCACCTGTGACTCTGTGACTGTTGCTGATCCTCTTCTCTTTGATCCCTTAGCTCCTGCAGCGGGCCTCAAATGCACGTCCTTGCAGGCGTCCTTCAAGCCTCAACAAGCAATGCTCAGCCTGTCAAATGAAGCACTTCCCAGGATCTGGCCAAATAGGCACCAACGGAGATGAAGGTGCCTCACGGCAGCTGCTGCTTCGCCAGAAACAGAATTTCCCTTCCAACAGTTCAAGGAAGTGGCACAGAGGTTCTGTAGTGGTGAAAAGCTTATTAATGCTTGCTTCTGCGGACGTGTTGTCAGATGCTGAAGGAAGAATGAATTTGAAGTGTCGGGCTTGCAGCCTGAAGGAGCACTTACATAGCCAATGCAAGCTGCGACTGTTTCGAAGCATGCAATGTAGGCCTGTGCTGTTTTGCTGAGGAAAGGGCAGAAATTTCGAATTTTTGTGATGCTCCAAACCTCCGAAAACCCAGAAAAATGTGAGGAGGTGCTGATCCATCCTCCTATTCCCACAGAATCTCCTTTTGCCATGGCATCTACGACGGCCATGCAGCGCAGCATAGGACACTGACGCATGGAGTGCATTTGGTCGTGATGGAAACATGAACAAAAGCCCACACAGTGCTCGGCTTCATTGCGGAGGTGAATTTCGTTGCGGTTGGGGTCTGCGAGGCGGATCCACTGAGGCTTCTGAGATGGGGGCACAAGAGGCACGTCTTGCTTGCACTGGACATGCACGGACCCAACGGGTGCGGCCCGAATCGGCCACCAAACAAGCCCGAATCGGCCACCACGCAGGCCCCGAATCGGCCACCACGGCCGCCTGAATCGGCCACCACGCACGTGCCAGCAGGAAGCCCGAGTCGGCCACCAGAAAGCCCGAATCGGCCACCAAAAAGCCGCCACTGCGACGTCTGTTCACTACCCTAAGGGTCCAAGGACCCAAACAATAGGGCTTTAGGGCCCAAATACCATTAATATAATAATATTTGGGCCCTACAGCCCCATTATTTGGGTCCTTGGACCCTTAGGGCTAGGGAAGCTTGGTTTAGGGCATTAGGCAAAAAGTATATAGGGGCAGGGGTAAAAAAACATTGAGCACAAGGCTGCCGCGGCCGTCTGAGGAACCTAGGAACCAGGCCGCGCCGGCCGCCACGTCCCAGCTCTCCGTTCCAGCCCACCAGCCGAAGCAACCCAACCAACCCAACTAACCCAACCCATCCAACCAGCCCCACCAAACAAACCAACGCCACGAACCCAAGCTGCCCAAGTTGTCCAGAGAAGCAAGTCGTTCAAGGAAGCCCTGCAACCTAACCAACCCAACCCACCCAACCGGCCCAGCCCAGGCAGGCAGCCCAAGCAACCCCGTACCAACCAAGCAACCCGTACCAACCCACCAACCCAACCAAACCAACGAGCCAACCAACCCAACCAAACCAACGAGCCAACCAACCCAACCAACCAACCAACCCCACCCAACCAAGCAACCATATTAGGCCAAGCTACCCACGCCAACCAAAGAAGCAAGTCGCCCAAGGAAGCCCTCCAACCTAACCAACCCAACCCCAACAACCACCCCCCATGCCAGGCAGGTAGCCCAAGCAACCCCGTACCAACCAACCAACCCAACCAATCCAACGAGCCAACCAACCCAACCAACCCAAGCAACCCCACCAAACCAAGCAACCCTATTAACCCAAGCTACCCACGCCACCCAAACAAGCAAGTCAGGTAAGAGACCTCGTCAACCTAGTCAACTGAAGCCACCCAACCAACCCATCCGAGCCAGGTAGCCCAAGCAACCCAACCCACCCAACCAACCCAACCAACCCAACCAACCCAACCCACCCAACCAACCCAACC